AGGGTATGTGCTATGGTGAGCTCTGTGAATTGTGCAAGACTGTTGAATCACAGATCTGTACTTCTGAAACAAATAATGCAATATATGTTAAGAAAAAAAAAGAAGATAGCAGGAGGGGAAGAACGAAGGGGAGTAAGTCAGAGGGGGCGACGAACCATGAGAGACGATGGACTCTGAAAAACAAACTGAGGGTTCTAGAGGGGAGGGGCGTGGGGGGATGGGTTAGCCTGGTGATGGGTATTAAAGAGGGCACATTCTGTGTGGAGCACTGGGTGTTATGCACAAACAATGAATCATGGAACAGTACATCAAAAACTAATGATGTAATGTATGGTGATTAACATAACAATAAAAAATTTAAAGAAAAAAAGAAATATTCTTATTTTAATGCAATAAATACAACAGTTATTCTGCTGAATGATTTGTGTTTGGGAGGTGTATTGAAGAAGACCTTCCTCATTCCTAAGTCACAAAGATATTCTACAATTTTTTTCTTTTTTTCTTTATAATTTCATAGCTCACATTAAGTTTATTCATCCATTTGTTTGTTCATGGTGAGATGTGAAGACTGATTTTTCTTTTTCTCCCTATAGTGAACCAGTTTCCTCAACATCATCTACAAAACAGTTCATTCTTCCTCCATGGGGTTGTGACGCCAACGCTGTCATATAGCAAGTCACCATCTGTGCCCTCATATATCTCTGAGTTTTCTCTTTTCTTGCACTGGTCAATTGTTCTCTTCCTATACCTGTGGTTCTTAAATTCCCCTGGCTTTTTAAGTAGGTCTTAACCTGTGTAGATATTGAAGGACTGCTCCCTTCTCTGATTTCCCCACATGCTTTTGGAGCAGCTGCACTTGGCAGGACAAAATGACCATAGAGGCGATGGTGAAATGCTTAGCAATAGAATAAACTGATAGAAATGGAGAGATTAAAAAAAAAAAACAAAAAGAGGTAAAGGGGCAGCTCAGTGGCTCAGTCAATTGAGCATCTGACTCTTGGTTTTGGCTAAGGTCACGATCTCAGGGTCCTGAGATGGAGCCCCACATTGGGGCTCTGTGCTCAGCAGGGAGTCTGCTTGAGAATCTCTCCCTCTGCTCTTCCACCCACTCATGCTCTCTCCTCTCTCTCTCAAATAAATCCTTTAAAAAACAGGCCAAAAGTGTGGTTGGATGGAACCTATTCTCGGAAAAAAAATTTAAAAGGAAAAGGAAGAGAAGGAAGAGGAGACAGAGAAAAAAGAAAGACACAGCCACAGCTTTCCAGGGGGGAAAAATAGAAGAATTTAAATTATTTAGGAGGAAGAAAACACAAACTATTAGTAAAAATGATTATCCAAAAGAAATGCATAATGAGGTAAGCACATAAATGTTTCCTGAGAAATTTCAGCAGGATTCTGGAAAAATGACAACAGCAGCATAATTTTTGAATCTCTCCAAATCCCCATGTAAAAGCAGGAAGAACAATTAAATTATAAAACAAAATCCCACAGGTAACATTTACAACAAAACTAGGTGACAGGGCATCTCCCTAAATCTCAAAATACAAGTGGATGCCAATGATCCATCAATAGCCTCAAGAACTCCATGGTCTCATCTTCTGTGCTGGAGAAAGCAGACAGAAGTAACCAGACCCGAGAACAGGAGAAACTCAAAATATCCAATAGATATTTGCTGGAGAGTGTGGCATCATTGAGACGGAAGGGCTTTGTCCAATGTAGTAGTGGATGAGGGCAAGGGGCCCATAGTAAAATCCGAAGAGGTTAGAATACCCTGAGCCTCTGTGAGTTCTGGAAATCAAACAACCAGGCCTCCTCTCCAGCACGGAGCTGTACACTGAGGAGATACCAAGAGGAATGGAAACAAAAATGTACAGGATACGGAATTCCACTTTCAGGAAGGCAGAACACCAGAATACCTGTTTCTTACCTGAAACAAAAAATTCACAAAATACACAAACAAAAAAAATTGTCAAAAAATCCACAAAATGTACAAAAACATATCAACAAAAATAGACAAAATATATGAAACAATGGTTTTCAAGACACTGTGCATCAGACAATGAAGGACAGTAATTCCTGAAAGATGGGAAACAAACAAGGTGAGCCCTCTGATTGCCCCAGCTTCCTGCCACAGGGGGATTTCAAGGCCTCAGTGTGGGGACTGGGGAGCCCAGGCAGAACCCACAAACTCCTTGCATTGAAAAGACAAGCTGAGATTCTAGGAAGATTGAGGTAAGCAGAGTGTTGGAGAGGAGAGAGCTTCACAGAGCAAAAACTCTGGAGACCGACAGAGAGTCATCCTTGAGAATTCATCAGGGAAATAATTGAGCAATGTGTAAGGAAACAATCTGAGGTTAAAGAAAGAACCATCAGCAAGGATTAGAGGAAGTGTACCTGGGGTCACACGGGGCCAGAAATAGTGCCTGTTCCCAGCAGTCAGGTTGAAAAACTTCATAATTCATAAGATATTGGGTAGAGAACTCAGAAGGCCCTTATCTCAGTACTAGGGGGAAAAAAATTAACCTTACACTAACACATCTCTGATACTGCCTAACCAATCTTAAAAGCAAGACCTAAAAGCATCAAGTAACTTGAGTCCCAGAACAAAGCTCAAGAATATTTATAGGAAAACAAAAACATCAAGCACCCAACAAAGTAAAATCCATAGTGTCTCACATCTGATCAAAAATTACCAGACATGCAAAGGAGCAAGAAAAGACAAGCAATAATGAAAAGGAAAAGAAAACTCAATCAACTGAAAACCAACCCAGAACTGACATATGTTAGAATTAACCAACAAAGATATTAAAACAGTTCTTATAAAAATATTATGTATGTTCAAGAAAGCTAAGAAGAGACATAGAAGGATAAAAAAGACCCAAACGAAACTTCTAGAGATAAAACTACTACGTCAGAGATGAAAAACAGTTTGGTGGGAGTAGTGGCAGATTTGGCATTGCACAAGAAAAGAATGTTCTTGACATAGCAGTAGAAATGTTGATGACATAACAACATGAAGCATCCGAAATGAAACACAGAGGGAAAAAAAGAATCTTTAAAAATGAACAGAGGATCAGTGAACTGTGCAATATCTTCAAGTTCCTGATATATGTGTAATTGGAGCCCCCACAAAAAGAGGGCAGACAATGGAGACAGAGAAAATAATAATTTTATATTTTTTTATAAAAAAAATTATAATAGCCAAAATGTTTTCCAATTTGATGGAAATTACAAAGCCACAGATTCAAAAGGTCAGCTAACCCCAAGCACAGAGACGTGAAGAAAACTACAGCAAGTCCATGGTAACCAAATTGCTCAGACCCGGGATAAGGAGAAAATGTTAAAGGCAATCAAAGAAAGAAAAACTCACATTACATACAGGAACAAAGATAAGAATGATCCTAGATTTCTTGTCAGTAACAATCTAAAAAAGAAACAGTAAAGTAACACTTTAAAATACTCAACCACGAAACAAAAACAAAAACAAGCACACTTTTAAGCCTAGAATTCTATCCCCAGTGAAAATATCTTTCAAAATTGAAGGCAAAATAAAGTCATTGTTCTTTTTTTGTTTTGTTTTATTTAGCCATATAGAAGCTGAAAGAATTAATCACCAGAGGACCTGCACTACAAGAAATGTTAAATGAGGTCTTGAGGCAGGGGAAAAGTTATACCAGGAAATATGGAACTCTACGAAGGAATGAAGAACATCAAAAATGATAACTATATGGGGGAGCGTCTGGTTGGCTCAGTCAGAAGAGCGTGGGACTCTTGATCTCAGGGTCATGAGTTCGAGCCCCATGTTGGATGTAGAAATTACTAAAAACATGAATAAATTTAATAAATAAATAAATTTATTTATTTAAAAAATGGTGACACCCCACGGTGGGCTCCCTGCTCAGTGGGGAGCCTGCTTTTCCCTCTCCCTCTCCCACTCCCCCTGCTTGTGCTCTCTCAGGAGTGCACTCTGTCAAATAAATAAATAAAATCTTTTTAAAAAAAATAGTAACAATGTGAATAAATATACAAGTATTTTTCTTATTATTTCAATCCCTTTAAAATATGTCACTATTTAAATAAAAATCAAAATAATACAGTATGGAGTTTGTAGCATATATAAAAACAAACTGAATGGTGAAATAGCATAAAGGTGTAAGGGGAAGCAATGGGAAAATATTCTTGTAAGGTTCCTACACTGTATGTGAAATGGTATACTAACACTTGAAGGTAAGCTGTCATAACGTAAAAGACTGTTGGTTTGCAACCCTCTGGGGAGCATTCCAGGTGTAATCTGAAATTGGCCCCCAAATGCAGAGGGCAGGGAGAGACAAAAGGAAGAGGCAGGCCACTCCAGGTTGGTAGGTAGCAGTTTTGATAAGCAAAGGGAACTTATGTACAAGGCTTGTCTTGGGCTGCAGCAAGACAAGTGGATCCAGGAATCCGCCCGCCATGTCTTAAAATGTATATGGAGTACTTCTGAAACAAATAATGCAAGATATGTTAGGAAAAAAGAAAAAGAAGAAGATAGCAGGAGGGGAAGAATGAAGGGGAGTAAGTCGGAGGGGGAGACGAACCATGAGAGACGATGGACTCTGAAAAACAAACTGAGGGTTCTAGAGGGGAGGGGCGTGGGGGGATGGGTTAGCCTGGTGATGGGTATTAAGGAGGGCACGTTCTGTGTGGAGCACTGGATGTTATGCACAAACAATGAATCATGGAACACTACATCAAGAGCTAATGATGTAATGTATGGTGATTAACATAACAATAAAAAAAATTTTTTTAAATGTATATGGAGAGACGTGGGTACAGTCTGTACCCTTAACTGAGTACAGTCACATATATTGTGCAGGTGGTCTCAACACCACATCATTATTTCAAGGCTATGTCCTTGGAGCAGCCACTGGGAATGGGAAAGACAAGCAGAACCCACATTCCAAGGACAGGGGAGGAGGTGAGGATCTTCCCATTGCCTGGGTCCAGCTCACAGGTCAACTGGTGGTCAGGTCTTTTCGGTGACCTTTCCCAACAAAGATGTATACTATAAGCCCTAAAGTGTCCACTAAAATAACACAAAGTTTATGGCTAATAAGTCAACAGAGGAGATAAAATCAAATCATAAAAAAAATTCAATTCATCTAAAAGAAGCCAGAAAAGGAAGAAAAGGGGTACAAAATACAGATGAGAGAAATAGAGAAAAATGATAAGATGAGAGACTTAAAGTTAACCACATCAATAGTCAAAAACCAAAGTGGGGAGAAAATCGCACATATGCAAAAAATGACTATTCTCAGTAATTGTAGTACTCTGAGATTTGTGTATGTGTAATAGAGGCTAAAGTAAATGAGTGATTATAGGTGATTGTAATTCTATTTAGTACTCTAGGTCCTTGAAATCAAGATTTCCCGTGTAAAAGCTAGGAGGTATTGATGTAATATAGAAGAGGTTAAGTAAAGATCCTGTAGTCCTGAATTTTCATTGGAAATATCGGTATAAACTTATGAAGTATTTTGTTGTATGTGTCCATGTCTCTGTGTGTGTGTACTTTTCCTAGCTCTGTCCATTGAAGAAACCTAGAAACAACGACCAATCCTTGGTAGCAATTAGCAATCCTTGTACCCAGATTGTGATTTTGAAATATCATGTTTCACTAAGAGAAACAAAGGCTTTTATGGGGAAATCGTCCATTCCATGCCTGGGGCAGGAAAAAAGTACAAGATAAGTCAAGAATATATCTTTCACGCCAGATAAAGAAAGCTACTAGGCTCATGTGAAAATGATTCAGAAGCCAAATTGAAGGGATTTCTATTGAGCAAAAATATAACACTCTTAGCTTTAAAAGGCCTAAGTGCAACTGACTGAAACTCTTCAAATATGTTTAAATCCATAGCTTCATAATGATTAAAAAATAATTGGCCAGTTTTGAACTGTGATAGGGATTCAATTCACAGTCTAAGAACTTAGAAAGAATCAAATTTTTATCCTATATTTCCCAAATAAAGTTGAACTATTGGTTATTGACTATAGAAACAGAATTCTTATAAAAATACTCCACCTTACAAATATATATCAAGTATTTCAATGAATAAATGAAAAATAAGTTATTGAATTAGAATATCCTTATTTTACAACTCCCAATAAACTAATTGTTCTAGACATTGGGCATCAAAAGCTGCTAATGTCACAAAAAGAAAGAAAACCAGATATTGTGTGCCTCCTGATGAAGGAACACAGCACCACCTATGGTCTTTTCAAAGGGATTTTATCTAAGTCTGATAAAGCGTCTGGCTCCAGCTGCCAGTTTGCAGCAAATACAGAGGGCAGAGGAATGTGTTGAACTGCACCAAGAGCAAAATCTAGACTATGGAAAACTACACAAAAGTCCCGAAATTGCCATCTGAAAAGGTGTAAAGAAAAGAAAAAATGGAGAGGAGTCCTAAAGATTAAAAGACCCTTTAAAGACATTGCAATTTTTTGAATGGTCAGGACAAAACTATAGAGTCTAGGATTGCCCAAAGTGAAAAGCTCTAAAGAAACACAAGAAAGTGATTACTATAAAATACAGGATAATGGATACTTTTGGAGGAATGGAGGGTGTTGAGATCATAATGGGGCATATGGATGGATTTCTGGGGTAATTGGCAACTTTCTAGCCACCTGGGTGACCTGGGTGGCGGTTACAGAGATGTTCACCTTATAATAATTCAGTAATGATACATTTGTCTTGGGTGTGTTCTGATGCTGTGTTTTAATTATTTTATAATTTTTTTATAAAAATACCTAAAGATGCAGTAACCACTGACTCCTTAATAGTCAGAAGCAATCAAATAGCAAAGTTATAAATTGCCTATTACATAACTCCTAAAAATCAGTAAGAAATTAAACTTCATTCCCATAGAAAATCAGGCAAGAACTATGACCAGGCAGTGCACAATAAAAGAAATACAAATATTTTTAAATATATGAAGACACTCATCCTTACATAATAAGATGATTAAAGCTACCATGAGATGTTTTTACCTCTCAGATGAGCAAATGCCCAAAAAGTGTGGTAAAGCAATCACTCTAACACATTTCTGGGAGCATAAATTTGTACACCCTCAGCAGGGAACAGTTAAGCTATATTTGTTGAAATGATAAACCAATATACCCTGTGCCCAGCAATTTTATTATTATATATTATACAATATATAAATAAATTATTATTTATAATACATAATAAATGTATTATTACAATTCATTTTCATTGTTTTTATTTTCAAAGGATTAGAAATAACCTAATGCCCATCAGAAGGGACTGGTTTAATAAATTGGTTTAATAAATTAAGATACATCTATACAATGGAATAGTATGCATCTATAAAAAAACAAGGAAGGCTTTTATATACAGACATAGACTCATCTCCAAGATATATATTTTAAGTGTTTTAAAAAAAACACAGTAAAGAAGAGAATGTGTGGATTGCCACTACCCTTCTCAAAAGAGAGGAGGAAACATCAAAAACTAATGATGTAATATATGGTGATTAACATAACAATAAAAAAATTAAAAAAAAAAAAGAGAGGAGGAAAAAGAAATTCAACTGATAATGTTGGTTAACCCTAGGAAGAACTGAGTGACTGGCAGACAGAGACGGGACAGAGATCTTTCATTGGATGTACCTTGTACTGTTAGAATTCTGCACCATGTGAATATGTAAGCAATTCCAAAAAAATTAAATTTAAGGAAGAATAATTGGGTATCCCAACAATGACTGATGAACACGGATTTATCAAGAGAGTTCAGAAGTTTAATACAATTACTAATGAAGAACTCATGAAATCACTAGGAACTTCCTGCTTTGGATTCAATAAGTCAATCCACAGAGAAGTCCAAAAATGGACAAAGGAAATCAACTGTTTTGAAGTTCTTTGAGATATTGGAGTTGAGATATTAAAAATAAAAATAGGGGTCATATCAATATTTCACAATGCTATTTCTTGTTACCAGACTTTTATGTACTTTTAGGAACTGATTTTGAATCTTCTTCATAATATCACTACTAAATTTTATATTAAAATCTAACTTTCCAGATTTGTTAAATTACTAAGATCAGAGTCCACACTTTCTCCTAGGTGGTTTGTGATCATTGGTATTTGTTGATTTGGCAACAATTAACACCTTTAAAATATTAAGCCATCACATCCAGAATCCTGGACTATTTTCTCATTTATTTAAATGTTAAATTATTTCCTTGATACAGTTTTTTTTCTTTATCAAAGTCTTGCAAATTTTTTGATAAATTAATTTCCAGAAATATTCCTATTTTTGTTGTTGTGTTGTTGTTGTTTCTATCATTTTCTTCCTACTAGTTATTGCTATTTGAGAAAAATGCTACTGATTTTTGAGATTGTCTTTCTACCTACAAACTTTTGTTGGCCTTGTTTATTTCTATGAATCTTTTTATTTTGCTTTTTTATCCTTTCTATACAAGTGATCTACATACAGATGGCCTGCAAATAATGATGTTTCCTCTCCAACCTCTATCTCTCTTATTTTCTTATTTTATAGCTTTGACCAAGACCTCTGGTATTATATTAAACAATAACTGTGAATCAAATGCCCCTTTGGTTTCCTCCTATGGTACCATATTCCTCTCACTTGCCACACTGTTATAGTTGGAATTTCATAATTGAGGTGATTATTTTATTAATATTAATTTCCCTCATTGTACTATAAGCTCCATGAAGGAGCAGATTTTTCTCACTATTGTATCCCTGGCATAGTGCCTGGGATGTATTTATCTCAATAAATATTTCTTGAATGAATAAATGAATGGCCTAAGCTGATAAATAAGAATTGAAGAAAATCATAATAGATGAGGACCATAATTTTCTTATCTTGCCTTTTCCTCCCCTATTCCAATTACAAGCTCATTAACACTCAGGAGCATACGTATCATTCAGGGTATTTTGGCTGCAAGCACCAAAACTGGCTGGCTAAATTAAACAAGAGGGGAATTTACTGGAAGGAGTTAAGGAGATGGGGATTAGAAGATGAAAGGAAGGCTGAAACCCTACACATAGAAAAGAGCAATTCCAAGGGTGTCAAATAGAAACTACTCGACAGTTTTGTCAGGGTGCTGGTGGGGCAACCAAGGAGCACCAGTGACTCTCATTATCTTACCGCTCTGATCAAGACCCCCCTCCATCTCACGACCCTGAGATCACCACCTGAGCCAGAACCAAGTCAGAAGCTTAACCAATGGAGCCACCTGGGTGCCCCTACCCAGGTTTTCATAGGCTATTTGTTTCATTCTTCACATTTATAAGTTTGGTCTATTTGGAGTTTATATACATAATATATATTATTACATATATACATGAACATTATAAAACATTTATATATATATATATACAAGTTTTTTCTCTTCCAAATGGATATCCAGAGATCAAACCCTATTCATTTAAAATATCATCTTTTTCCTCAGTGATTAGAGATGCCACTTAAATCATAGGCTAAAATTTTCCATTTGTTTGGGCCTATTTTTGGTATTTCTGTTCCATCGGTCTGTCCATTCATGAACCCAATACTACATTGCTTTAATTATAGAGCTTTTATAGTGTTTTAATAGCTGATATGGCCAGCATAATCTACTGTTCTTTGGTGGGGGAGGGGGGTGCATTCCTGTCTGTTCTAAATTATTTATCCACATGAACTTTAAAAGTAATTTGTCTAGCTCCAGGAAAACAAACAAAAAACAAAACCATGTATTGATATTTTGATTGGGGTCATGTTAAGTTTACATATTAACTTGGGAAGAATTGGCATCTTTAAAATGTTTATCCAAGAATAAGAGATGTTTCCATTAGTTCAAGTCTACTTTTGCATTTTGGGGTGTATTTTTTTTTTAAGATTTTATTTATTTGTTTGACAGAGAGATACACAGCGAGAGAGGGAACACAAGAAGGGGGAGTGGAAGAGGGAGAAGCAGGCTTCCCGCTGAGCAGGGAGCCAGAAGCAGGGCTCGATCCTGGGACCCTGGGATCATGACCCAAGCCGAAGGCAGTCACTTAACCCACTGAGCCACCCACGTGCCCCAATTTTGGGGTGTATTTTAAGGTTTTCCTCATTACAGGGTTTGCACATTTCTTGTTAAGTATTTCTTTTTGATATTGTGTCACACCAGTCATTGGTAATTGTGTATGTGAAAGCTATTGCTTTGTATGCTAATTTTTATCTTATTACCCTGCTGTATTACTTATTACTGTGCTGTATTAGTTTTAATTTTGATTTTCTTGTGTTTTCCACCTAAACATTCAGGTCATCTGTATGTATTTGCCTCTTCCTTTGCAATCTTGATTTCCCTCATTGTTTTCTTTTGTCTAATTGTTTTGTTCTTTACACCAATACAATGTTAAAATGGAGGTACCTGATACCCTGTCTCCTTCCTTGACTTTCTGCTTACTTTCCTTTGATGAGAATGCCAATAGTGTACCCCCATTACACAAGATGCTAGATTTTTTTCCCTAAGGATGTATTTATTTTTAAAGAGGGGGGAGGGGAAGAGGGAGAGAATCTTCAAGCAGACTCCCCGCTGATCACGGAGCCCAACAGTATGGGGCTCCATTTCAAGACCCATGACCTGTGCGGAAACGAAGAGTTGGAAGCTTAACCAACTCAGCCTACCCAGGTACCCCTACATTTTACTTTTTAAAAAATCAGAAATGGGTGTTGAATTTTGCCAAAGGTCTTTTCATCATCCATAGAGAAAACTATGATGTTTGTTCTTAGATCTACTACTATGCAAGTTGTATGAACACATTTCCTAATACTGAACCATCTTTGTATCAGTCATGCTAAATCACCTTAAAATGTGCTATAGATTGTTTACTAATATTTATTTAGGACTTTTGCAGCAATATTCATATGTGAGATTGGTCTGTGGGTTTTTTTGTACAATCTTTATCAGATTTAGGTATCAACATTATTCTTGCTTCATAAAAAGAAAACTAAACTTTCCTTCATTCTTCTACATTTTGTAAGTTTACCTAACATTAGGGATTATTTGGTACTTTCCTCCTGAAACCATCTGGGCCAAGCGCTTTTTTGTGGGAGTTAATTCTTTGATAACCTTCTCTATTCCTTCTGTGGAAATTTTTGTCACTTTCCACCTTCAGTAAGATGAATTTCAGTGAATTCTATTTTTCTAGGAAAGTCATCATTTATCAAATTTATTTGTAATCCTATGTTTGTTTGAGTACCATTTTACTGGCTATTTCTCCCTTTTATTTATTTATGGCATTTGTGCTTTCTTTCTTGAGAAAGCTAAAGGACTGTTTGTTTTTTTATGAACTCTGTACTTGTTTTACATCTAATTACTTTCTGCTTTTATTTATCTTTATTAAAGAATTTCGGGGGAGGGACCTAAATATCAGAACTATGGGATTCCATTAAATCAGTGATGGGGGAAATCTATAGCTTTTAAATACTTTATGTAAATAATGAAAATTAAAATAAGTAAATATTCAACTCAAAAAAGAAAGTAAAGAAAATAGACGGCAATAAAGATAAAGTGCTCGACCTTCTTCAAGTCAGATGCTGACAAGATGGAAGCCAACTGCCAAATCATTCTCCTAGACCGGCCCCTGGATGTGGACTACTATGGAATGATGACATCCTAGAACAGTCTGAATTCATGGCTACTGCTCCAAGCACAGGGCAACCATCTCCTCAGGCGGCCCAGACATTTTAACCAGAGACGGGATGGAAGTATAGTTTTTCCATGTGGATCTTTAAAAATATTCTACTACTAGCAATCCATAACAGCAAAGGGGCAGATTTTGTGCAACTCAATCCCTACTAGTAATTAATACTAAGCTGAACTGTGTCCAAAATGACCTGTACACAGTTACTATAGCTACTTTAAAATTAAAGCTAAAGCTAAAATACGCCAAAGTCTACAAGGTTGCATGAATCTCAGCAAGTAAGTGTAAAATTTTATATTTACCAATGTTTAGTATTTAAAGGAATTTATTTCCTGAAACCTTATCTACCATCTTCAACTTCAATTATATTTGACAGACATTAAGAGCACACCAGGGAAAATATTTATAACAAATAAAAAGAAAGCATACAAAATTACACATGTAGTAATGACTTTGCAAAACAAAATATAAATATGCCATATTTTATACATCAAAATATTCACAGTGGTAGTAACTCCTTGAAGGTAAAAATCCCTGTCCTACTCGTCTTTCTAGTGCCATTTTACAGAAGAGTGGCTGGTACAAAGTAGGTATTCAATAAGTGCTTGCTGGAAAAAATGAAAGTGAACAATATACATCTTCAAAAAAAAGATACTCGATCAAGTAAATATATGAAATTTTAATATTTTTATCTGAAATATACAAAGGACTAAAGACAAAGTTAATACCTAACTAAAATTCTCTGAAGTAACTTCATTATTACAAAGTTAAATCTTGAGTCAAAAATCCAACTCTAAAAATATGGTCTCAAAAATCACATATCTACATATAACACTAAGAAAGTAAATTGTCTTATGCTGCATCATCATCATCCACTGCAGCATAGATGGCTTGATTCCTCCTCTTGATTTTTTTTCTTTGTTCAGGTTCATGTTCATCACTCAGCCTCTTCAATGGCAACTCTAAGTCATTTCCATCCCCTGACTCCAGAGCCTCACCAAGTTTCCCCTCTCTGCCATCCGGGGAACCCAATGTATCATCAGAAGATACAACCATGGAACCCGGCAAGATCCTGACATCAGAGAAGCTTGCAGAGAAGTCAGAAGCTTGATCAGAAGAAGGTTCTACAGATGGTGTATTCATGTCACTATGTGTACTTACAATACTATCTTCATCTTCCTCTTCTTCATCTAACATTATTTCATCTGGATTAATAGAGGACAGGGCAGATGTATCTGTGTTATATTCACTACGGTCTTCTCCAGAGTCATTACTCTCCATGTCATCCTGCTCTTCAAATTCACCACACAAGTGATGTTCTTCCTTGGCCTTCTGAAGCCTGACATTCATGTCAGTGATGCCAAGTTGGGCACAAAATTCAGTAGTTTGAGGATTGATCCTATGAACCAACTGCATTTGTGTCTGTGGCCTGCTAGGGTCATAACAAGCAGCTGTTATGCTAAAGTTACATGGAACTTTGAGGTCATGATTCAGTATTTCCAATACTTTGTTCATAGCTTCTTCTGTTGCACTATAATCCCACCTACAAAAGTCCAAAACAATAGCTTTTTACATTTTATCAGCCTCAGACAATAAAAGATGAAATCTAACTATGGACTTCATGGGCAAGGATAAAACAGAAACCATATATAAAAATTCCATCTAACAAAATTATAGTTAATTTGCCAAAGGACCATTTTGAAATAAAAACAATTCTTAGAAAAAACTTAACTCACACTCTAAAACAAGTACAAATTACTTTAATGTGTTAACCAAATCTCCACTATATTATAGTTAGTTTTACACATGCTTATTCATTTATAAACTTATCTGGGTTGGTATTCCCACCATCCATTTTTATATCCCTTGATGCAAAATTTGTAGTTTTCCATATCAGTCAGTAAACCCTGAATTACTCTGACACTCATTTAACAATAATTTCCTTGATTAAAAAAAAAAAGGAAAAGAAAAGAAAAAGGTGGAGGGGACAAAAATTGGGCACGCAACAGAGAGAGCAAATCCTAAATAAGGTCAGACTTACCTTGTATGCAGGCCATTATTTTCAGGCATATTCCAGAGGCGCTCAGTCACATTAATAAGATCATCAGTAGCCCTGAGAACAGTGAGCCATTCAATATCATACTCTAAGTACTCAGGAGCACTGGGGTCATGTTCTATTTCTATTACCTATAGAAAAGAAATCAGTTATTTTAAGAATGCCTTTCTATTTTTAATATTCTAAGAATTTCCAACTTAATAGCTAACAAACACGTAACTTAAGTGTTCCCAAAGAATTCTCAGAATACATAAATTATAGAGCATAAATAAATTCTAAAGGGAAAATTAATATTTTTCTAATCACTGGAAGAGCAAAACTATCACAAAGTTATTTCATTTTCTTTTTACCTGAAGAAAGTCTCTATGTGGTAAGCATTTGTCCAAGGCTAAAAATTTGGTTGCTTTGGCTGTCTGTCCTTTATCCTTGGCCTAGAAATATGAACCATGATTTAAGAAAAAATGTTAAAATATCACAATTAATTCATACACAGAATAGGATGGAAACAATCTTTATTAAACATATCCCTAAGTCGTGAGTCAAAGCAACAACTGTCACTGTTCCAAAATAAGTTAGTTCTATAAACACTTGTGTAATGACAGGCAAGGCACTTAAACTCTCTGGACTTCAACTTCCTTACAAAAGTCAAAGCAGACACAAATGCTGATGATAATATTGATACTGTTAAAGCACATAACGCAAAGGTTAATGATAACAGAAGAGCTTAAAAGTAATCTGGCAGAGCTAAAACTAAACAACTTTTAGAAGAAATTATACGGAAAAATCTTTATAACCTTGGGCTGGGCAAAGACCTCTTAGATACAACACCAAAAGCAGGTATGATACATTCACAGAATGAAATATTGTTCAGTAATAAAGATGAAAGAAATACTAAACCTGTTGAATGAATGAACCTCAAAAACAAGCAAAGGAAAGAAACCACAAGCCAAAGACTACAGATTTTTGATCCCACTTATATAAGTGTTCAGAAAAGGCAAATCCAGAGAAACACAAAGCAGATTAGAGGGTGCCTGGGGCTGAGGGTGAGAACACGGACTCATAGCAAACAAACACGAACGATCTTTTGGGGTGCTGGAGATGTGCTAAAACTGGGCTATGTGATATTTGCTCTGGAAACATCTGGAACTCTGGAAATATACTAAAACTCACTGAATTGTACATTTAAATAGGTGAATTTTATGTTATGTAAATTATACTCCAATGAAACTATTAAAAAAAATGCACTGGCAGAAAGAAACATGGGCAGGAGGTAGTGGGTCAAAACATGAAGATCATACTGGATGCAGTAAAAAAGTGACTCAGGGAGAACAGTAAGGGACATGGAGGAAAACAGACAAGGAAGCAGGCTACGGGCCATCCTGCTGTGGGCCAGGTTTCAGTTCACTGGTGGTGAGGGACTAAGAGAGGCGCAAGGCACACAGATTACAGGCAGATGATGGCAGCAGGGCAGTTCTGAGGAAAGATGATTTTTGGTGTTGGAAAAAGGGGCTGAAACAGAACACTGGCAAAGTCAGAGGACGTTGAGGAGCTAAGAAAAAGGGATCAAACGTACTAATTCAGAGATTTAAGTCCCTGACGTTGACAACAGAAGATGGATGGGGAGGAAACTACCAAATCTGATGCTCCAATAAAAATCCAGGAGTGTCATGAGCCCTAGGAGACAGAAGAGAGTAACACAGATGTAGAAAAGGTGAGATATAAACCGATGACTTGGACATTAAAAGAGAATAATCACTTCGGCAGTGGCCCAAAGGAAAATAAAAGGAGTAACCTTGCCTCCTCCTCCCAGTAAAACTGGGGAGTGAGGATAAGCCCACAACAGCAAGGGCCTACAGGAGTATTTTCAAACAGAACTTTCCAAACTGTATTTGAGGAACATCATTAAAGTGTACCCCCACCATGGAAAAATGTTGGGTCAAGTTCAGGAAGCACTGCACACCACATTCCAGTCTTGGAGAAAGGCAGTGCCCATTAACACATTAAAGACTCTCAGAAATTCTATAGAAGCCTTTGAGAAGAAATCTCTAACCTTGTTAACCCAGCATTTTCTAAATGGTTTCTCTATGGAATACTTTATGGGGCAAGTCAGAGCTTGGTGAGAATGGGAGAGGAAAGGGAGAGCCATGCCATTTCCATAAAAGCCTAATTGTAAATATAAATTTATTCTCTACCTTCCAATGAGCACTATCATCCAAGGAGTTTCCCAAAGGAAAACTCGGGGAGTCCCTCTCTGTCACCAAATCCTGCTGATTCTGCTTCCAAAATCTCTCTGGACCTGCGTTCTCTGTGTTCCCTCTTCACTGCAGGTTAGAACCTTGTCTTTTTATGCCTCCCAATTTACTTACTACAATCCATACACAAAACTGCTACCAAACTAACCTTTCTGAAATGAAAATCTGGTTTCATCACTCAACTTTCCCCCTTACATTCCGGTTAAAACCCAAACTCCAGAGCATGGCCCAGAAGGCAGCTATGATCTCGTTCCAGCCTCATCTCTCCCTCTGCCTCAGCCACAGGGACTGCTGCAGCCCCCCAGTGCGCATCAGCGCCAGGCATTCAGGCCACCAGTCTTTGCACATACTGATCGCTCTACCCGGATGGTGTTACCTAGATTCAACTGCTTCCTGCCATAATCAATTCCTCTGGAAAACCTTCTCCATCTCTTCATCTCCTGTCCGCATCCCCATCTCAGTGCAGTATGGTGGAGGTGCTCCCACGGTATCCTGGCACTTTTCACCACCAATTTATTACACTATTTTATAATCACCTGCGTGTCTCTTCCCCCCAAGGATACGGAGTTACTCACAAGAGCAAAGTTATCTTTGATCTCTTTCTCTCAATTTACAACTGTGCCCATAGTGCCTTAGCCCACACATATCTGGTAAGTGTTTGTTAAATGAAAGAATAAATATTTTTGGTTTCTACCTGATGCTGCATCAAGGCTGCAAACTTCACATGAAGGTGTGCAGAAAACCAGTACGTGGGTTTTAAGTGCTCTAAGAGCTCTGAGGCAGCAGGACTTCCCAATGTGTTATTCTCCACTTCTTGTCGGAAAAAAGATTTTGTCTTAAGAAGCTGCTGCTTATTTCCATAATGATAGATTTTTCTTGGCCAATCGTGAGATAAGAATATGTCCATAGGCTGCTTCAGCTTTAACAGAAAAAGAAAGAAAACTTTCAAAAAAAAGATCAAAAGCAATCCCCGGCTTTCTCTCCACTACCGCACAACCATTTGCCCACTTAGAGCTTTAGATTTCTCTGTAATTCATTCTAAGGAAACTTCATTTAAGAAGATCACAGAAACACTAAGAAATACTAAGCTCATTCATCTAAGCCAGGAGAAACTGCTTTCTCTCTCCTCACAAATCACCCCTATTTTCCATGGCAAGACAGGGCCATAGAGATACACTGGGATCAGACTGTCAGCCAGCTATGGTCTTTGGCAGAGGGCCTCCAAAATATATAGTAACTGTCATTCTTTTCCTTTCTAATGAATAAACTGTTTTCAGATACAGAGACACCAGATTTCATGAGATCTCTAATGTAAATAATATAGTAAAACCCAAAGGTATATATTTCTTTTTTTTCCCCAATGGACTCATATAGCATACACCTAAAAAACTGTGTTTACTACATAAATTATAGTAGAGGTATTTAAGGTGGCTGGTGTCTTCATGGGGAGGCCACAAAATACACTCCATACTTTACTGATCCCCGACACCTTCAAGTAATCTGCAACAAATACTTGGAAAACTAAATTAAAATAACTTAAGTGTTCAAGACGATGCAAGATACGACAGATATGTCTAAACACTGAAAAACTGATTCAGGCAGTAAGTGCAATGAAATTTCAGAACAGGCTGATGGCTTTAAACTAGAGCACTGGTGAGGCACCTGGGTGGCTCAGCTGGTTAAGCGTCTGACCCTTAATCTCAGCTCAGGTCTTGATCTCGGGGTCATGAGTTCAAGCCTCACATTGGGCCCCACACTGGGCATGGAGCCTACTTAAAAAACCAAACCAAACAAAAAACTAAAACACTGGTATCTAAGCTGGTTCTTCAAAGACTGGTAGGACTGAAATGGGAAAAAGGGAAAAAGCATTCAAGGTAGGGAATTGTTATGAGTAGGGTATTAAAGAAATGCCCGCAAAGCATCCTCATGCTCCTGCAGAGACTGTAGGGTATGGTGGGAAGGGCCTGAGAGCATCAGGCAGGCTCCACCCCTTAACTCCTTGGGAAATCCCGGGGAAGGCGACTTACCTATCTGAGCCTTGACCTCGCATCCTTAATGTGACAAAGTCAGAGTAACACCTACTTCACAGAATTGTGTGGCAATTATATGAAATATCATGTGTGAAAACTGCTTAGCCCAGTGTCAGGCACTTAATGTGTTCTCAAACAAAAACCTAGTTTCGCCTACTCTCCAGTTAAACCAAGTATTCCAAAGCCACCTTCACAATTTTACCATATTCTCTATCATTTTTACCACTATTTATTTCCTATTTAATACCATTAGTTAAAATATTTTAATATTTTCTTTAAAATATCACTTTATGCCAATAGATATTCTTTAGCCTTATCCTAAGTAGTAATATCTGAAGTCATGGATTAGATGTTCTATTTTATTATTACTCCCTAAAATAAATTCGTAACATTAGAATTAAAAAATGTTCATCTGTGAACCTCCTAAAAACAACTCAAGATCCAAATTTTAGAAATACTGAATTAAGTCTTCTTGGAAGTTATATACCAAAATGATCAAAATACACTTTGGTACAGAATTGCTTTAACATTTTTTCAAGTCTGCTATAATGTACTTTTTACATACCTGTTTTAATTTATAGACTTCAATATTTCTCACATGATATATACTCCTTATTGTAGCTGGATTATAAGGGGGACACTCAAAATGACCTTAAATTAAAGAAGAGAAATAAGCTATATTCAACTCCCTTAAATAGCGCAAATACAAATATATACATACACTTCAAAGCTGAGGTCTGTCATTAATGCTTTGGGTTCTTAAAAATTTTATGAAGACACTGCTCTTAAAATGCTGGTATTTTCTACCAGTAAGTGATCACTAACTATAAATCTAAATAACTGAGGGGCTTATGATTTTTTTAATTAAATTATATTTAATATGGAATATGTTGGTTATTCACATCATTTAAAAATTTAAAAGATACCATCAGAATGGAATGAGAAGAGTTCCTCCAGAGAGTAGACCAATGATGCCTAGGGCTGGGGTGGGAGCAGGGATTAACTACAAAACTTTTAGGAATGATAGAAATGTTCTAAATCTGGATGGTTGCATAACCCTATAAAGTCACTAAAAATCACTGAATTGTATACTTCCAAAGCTATGTAAGTTTTACCTCTACAAAGCTGCTAAAACAATGGGAGGCAGGTATCCTCCCAGCCACCAGTAACACTACCTAGAGGCAACCAGTGTTAATCAGGTTTTAGTATTTTATTCCAGGGATATCAACTATGCATATAATAATACACAAACTTCTTTATCCTTCCTTTTATTTACACAAAAGGCAGTACAGTTTATACATGTCCTATGCCTTGTTTTTTGCACTTATCTTGGCATTCTTTGTATATGTCACACAGAGTTGCTTCTCTTCCTTTTAAAAAAAAAATAGCTTCATAGCACTACATTGTATTGTTTTATCATGATATAGTTAATTAGTTCCTACCTTTTGTCATTACAAACAAGGCTGAAATAAAAAAATGTGTACACATCATTTTGCACTTATGGAATATATCTGTAAATTACATTCCTGGAAATAGAACTCCCGGGTTTTATAATTTCCACAGACTACCAGCTGTCCTCCAAAGAGTGGGAGGACAGTTTGCACCCACACTTGCCATGAAGGAGACGGCCTATTTTCGTACTCCTGTGCCAATAGCTTAGAATCATGGGGAACAGCGCAGCAGGGAACAGACTTGGGATTTAACAGTTACATTGAGGATATAAGTTTTAGCTGTCAACTCATAAAAATTTGAAATCAATGTGAATCCAAGTTATTCCTTTAACTTGAAAACCAAGATATAATCTTTTCAGATACAGTGGAATGAATAAGTACAGTGTAGTATACTTCTACAATGGAATACTACTCACAAATTAAAAGGAATAGAGTGAGATGTATCAACATGGATTCCAAAAACTAAATAGTAAACAGTGAAGCAAGCTGCAGGAAGATACATGCAAAATGATACATTCACATGAAGTTTAAAACATGCTACATCATACACTGTTTAAAGCTGTTACACAACTCGTAATGACGTAATCAAGCGAATGACAAATACCAAATTCAGAAGAATGACTGCTTGGTGAGGAACGGGAAGGATAAAAGGAGAAGAATGGGACTGAGGACAGATAAACAATGAGCTCTGACTGTATCTATACTGTTTCATTTCTTTAAAATCCTAACTAAAAGTCACAAAATACAAAGGCCTGATAAAACTAGATGGCGGATACATAAATAGTATGTTCTAGTGTTCTCAACATTTTCCTATGTATAAAATATTTCATTAAAAAGACTAATAGTTCCGAGAAAAAATCCAATGAAAAGTCAAACTATATATTAT